CGCCGTTCGGGCCCGGAGCCGAGTGCTTCTTGGAGGCCGCGTCGAGGAAGATGCGGATCTCCCTCTCGGTGACTCGGTTGGTTTCGCGGTCGAAGGCGAAGTTCGCCGGAGGAAAGGCGTAGGGCGCGACGCGAGGAAAGAGCTCCGCGATCACTTCAGCGAGAAACTTCCCCGTCATGCCGGCCGTCAGCGGCTCCGACGAACTCCGCAGCTTCTTCGTCACGATGCGAAACGGAAAACCCCTCGGATCCGAATCTACTTCGCTCAAGAGCTCCTTCCAACTCTCCTCCTTCGAACTCCATATCGCTCGGTGAACCCGAGCCGCGACGCCCGGCACTCCGCTTAAGCCCCAGCAAAACTGCGTCGGTCACGATTTCTTCGTAATCTCCTCCGCGGCGGAGGAGTTCCCGTTTCCTATTCCCAAACCGACGACGGGCGGGACAGGATTTTATTTTTTTTTTTTGTACATCATCATCATCATTATACTTAGGGTTGCAAACATTGCAAAAAGTGAAGCCGGACCAAAAGAGATATTCGGAAAGGTTTCACCCTAACATGATTATTATATTAATGAAATTATATGTATGTATTTGTGTATTGTATTGATGGGAGTATCCCAATTAGGAGGAGCGGATCTCTGCGGCGGCTGCGCCGGTGGGGGATTCGCTCCCTCCATCGCAAGTCCGGATCTGATGATTCCGGCTTTACGGGAAGGGGTTGAGGCCAAAATGCGGGTCATACTCTTGCGACCGCCCCTCCTCTCCGGGGAAAAAAAAGCGCAGCAAAGCACATCCAGAAGTCTTAGTTGGGTAGTGGCCTCGACTGAGTCGCACACTCTCCCTGCTACCGGTAGGGGTGGTAAGTGCGAAATGCGTTTCTCCTGAGTTAACAAAAAAAAAATATATATTAAGTGTTAAATAAAAACTTAATGAGGATTTTACATGAGTGAAACTTAAAAGGAATGTCTACAATCTTGTAATTATAAGATGAGGAAAATTGTCTTTGAAAAAAAAAATTGATGTTTATGCATTTGTTCTTTTGTGTTGTGGTTTGCTTTAATTGTAAATGAGCTACCATTTTCACGTTTAAAAAATTTACTTGATGAAAATCCTAAAAGTAAAAAATTTGATATTAAATTACATGATATTACCAAACAGATTTGGATTTTCCCATTGCGTTTCCTGTCGAACAACACGTTCGTAACAAACAATTTGCTTTCCAATAAAAAATTAAATTTGTTTGTACGTCTGCATTTACTTTGCAAACCAACCAGTCGAAGATAAGTAATAAAATCTGAACTAATGGGCGAACTCAGTTTGCATCTTGAAGATAAATTTTTCACGAGAATAGTTCTCAACTTTCAAAAATGCCTGATAACATCACCACAAAAAAAACCTAAAAAAAAAAAAAAATTAATCTAATCTCTTTCACTAAACCACATTAACATTCTTTTTACCTTTTACAATTTATTCAAATGAGATTTATTTAAACGAACTAGATACCGCATCATCACCTTCACACAATTTTTCAGTGTGACTAAATAAGGAGTCACTGATAACAGGAGAAAATATCAAACTGGAAAAAAAATAAACAGTTAAAGATGCCACATCCACCCACTTGAATGGTAGTTTTATAAAATTAAAACCTTTTTAAGATCCTTTACCTTAAGTAAAACCTGAAAATGTAAATCAAAATAGAATAATTTATTATCAAACATTCCATTATATTGATAAGACTCAACAAACGTCATAAAAATAAAAACAATAAAATTTAATGAAGGGAAAAATTGCATTTAAAATTGATGAAAATTTTCGTTACAGTTATTCAACGGTGGTATACCACTACTACTATTACTACTACTAATCCCATCAATCATTAAACCTTAGCAAAAAAAAAAAAAAAATCAATTTAAAATAGAAAAAAATTAATTGAAAGTTTTTACTACTTTCCCATCAAAAGTTTTTTGAATTGTTGTTCGATACACCTGGTTTAACCAAAGTATCGAACCGATAAATTTACCACAAAAAAAAAGTGATGGGAGGTTAATGTAAAGGAAATTTTAAAAAAAATATATAAAATAAATAAATAAACTATTTCCTTTTCCTTTCCTACTGCCATATTTCTCCTCTTCCTGTACCTTCTAAAAAAAAAAAGTAAAAATAAAATATTCATTGAATTCATATAAAAACCTTTTTGTGTGTGTGTGTGTAAAATTTTATTCCCAAAACAGTAAAACTAAAATAAAATGTTTTTTTTTTTTTTAAACAATTTTTTTTACATTTGACCCCCAATAATATACACAATCGTTTAACAACTTTTAAAATTTTTTACTGTTACAACAACAACAACAACAGGTTCAATTTATTGAAAAACAATAAAAATAAAATAATTTCAACATTGGTTTTACTTTTCCTTCTAAAAACAAAAAAAAAAAAAAAAAAAAAAAAAAAAACAAAATTCCAAAAAAAAAACTTTTTAAAAATTAATTTTTAATTAAATTCTTGTATTATTATTATTATTATTATTATTATTTTTTTTTTTTTTTTTTAATATAAAGTTTTATGTTTTTTTTTAATGGAGTTTTACAACGTCCGTTTTAACAGGCCGTTTATATCCGATTCTATAGGAATTAAGCGTTTGATATCGGTGGTGGTGGTGGTGCTGTTGTGTTGCAGAAGAATCCTGTAGGATTTCTCAAGTTTTCTTTTATTCATTGTGGCGTACATGACTCCTGTTGTTATGTTCCCGTCCTTAATTTATTCACGAAAACGTATATAAAAGTTATAAACACCAAAAAACAGTAACAATGGGTACCGAATTAAAAAATATTAGCGAACCATCCACTCGGTCCTTTCCTTTGTGTGCTTTTATTATGCCCGTGGTTGAAGCTTTTTTGGAAGTGAAAGGTTGACACATAAAAGGAGAACGAAAAAAAAACGGTTCTTCTGATCTTGACGTGTTCCGGTGACGTTCGTCCATCAACTTTTGGTATCTTCAATTTAGTGCAGGGATCGTGAAGGTCTTCGACATTGTTTACGAACAAAGTGATCGACTTTCAGTTATAACTCATACCAATTGAGAAGAACATCTTGCTTGCTACAGTACAGAGGAGTAGTAATAATTCTTCTTCTTCGCAAGTACTAGTGTGCTCTGATACGATAGAGTAGCCATCACCAAAAACGGAGACCTAGAGAAGAAAGAAGGAAAACGTGGAGTTGTGCATCGACCGATAATCGAATCGGAAATGAAGACTTATCGATTTGCAGTTTCGACGACGAGAAGAAGGAAAGACAAGCAAAAAAAATCCATCGAAGAACATAACATCTATGCTCGATTTCCAAATTCTAAATAACTTATTACCGTTCGTACGAATGTTTTAAGTATTTCAAATCATGTTTTGAGTTTGTTGGTGGGTGCGGTTTTGCCTCTGCCTATTCGTTGGTCATACAAATGACGTAAACGGGATAATCGAAATGTGATTACATCATTTTTGAATCATTCCCGAGGTATTCCATTGGCGGTATCTTATTGTACCTGTTTTATTTTACACATTCTGCCAGTTTAAGATATCCTGGAGTTAAGTTTATTGATGGTTTCCAGTTGCATTTGGCTGATATAATTGCTGTCGTCTGGTCAGATTTTAAGAATTACTTTCTTGTAGGCTTGATGATCCTGTGGAGCTGTGATGCTTTTGTTTCGATTTTTATTTATTATTATCATTATTACTATCATCACTGTTGTCGATTCAAAGATTTTCCTAATTGAAAAAGGTAAATAAATATGACGTCACTAATCTGTACTTACCTAAGTTAAAAAAGAAGAAAAATTTCGGGTTACAAAAAATTTAAATTAAAGAACGTGAACGTCGTAAATGTTAAATTTAAATTTCTGATTCGACAGTTGGGGATAAAAGAAGTGGAAGAAGAATAAAAAAAAAAAAAGGAAAAATCACGATTTTATTCGTGGAAAGGTCAAAAAAAAAAAAAATTATTACAGTACAAGTTACAAAGAGTTTCCGTTACTTTACAACAGCAAAACAAAAAATAACCGCAAAACGTTTTGTTCGTGTTCATCCTTTTTTTTTTTCGGTTAATTCTCTTTTGTTTTACTGGAATTCGACCTCTTGACTGGAGAAAACTCACGAGAGTTGAAAAGAAATAACAAAATTTTACAAAAACGACCATTACCGTTTCATCAAAATTATAATAATAATTTTTTTTTTTTTTGTTTAAACTCAAGAGATTCTTACGTTAAAACGCTTAACTTAATTCAATCCGCCATTTTGAAATTTTACTTTTAAAATCTCAAACAAAATTTTATTTAAATTACCGGAAGTGACGAAAAACAAAACATTTTTTTAAAAAAAAAACCCTAAATTTTTCCGACGCCCATTTCAAAATAATGAAATAAAATTTTTTTTTATTTCATTATTCTGATGACACGACAATACGAAAAAAAAATGGAGACGACGTAACGAGGTTATCCACTATATATTATACTTAGGAAAAAAAAAAATTTCCTTCTTCGAATTGAAACGTTTTTTTTTTTTCACTTAAACGAAAACAAGCGAAAAACGTCCGCCATATTGAAAACAAAAAAGAAAAAAAAATTATTTTTATATTCGTTATTTTATTTTAATACCCAAATGATTTTCGAAAGCACCCGAAAAATGAAGCGTAAAAAACATAAAAAACATTTTTAAATATAACCGAGCGGAAATGATGATGATAATGATGATGTTGTGCGATACAGAAGGGGAAAATTCTGGAAATAATCGAAAAAGAATTTTTACGAGTTATGAAAGAAAAAGGGATTCGACGGTAATAATAATACTAAAATTTTTTTTTTAATTAAATTTTAAATTTTATTATTATTATTATTATTATTATTATTATTATTATTATTATTATTATTATTATTATTATTACTCAGGATCGACCCCACGCACGATCGATTACAACCGATTAACCGGAAACAATAGAAAAAGTTTTGGTAAAATTCTAATTATCATTTCCATTCCATTTATGAATTTTCTTTATTTGTTCTGGAAAAAAAGGAAAAAGGGAAAAAAAATTTTCCGAATGTTAAAGAACTAAATTATCGATTTTATTAAAATATATAAAAATTAAATTTTCACAAGAGAAAATAATAATAATAATAATAATAAAACATGGAGTCCGTTATTAAATTGATAAATTAATTGAAAAAAAAATAATTAAACTTCGGTCCCATCTTCACCTTCATCTTCGTAAAAAGCTTTTCCAGGTTTTTTCTTAGGTTTTGGCGGTGGATTCGGTGGAATTTTCCGATTCGCTGTGATACGAGGATTGATAGAGTTGGGCGTTATCAAACTTTCCGTTTCTTCCGTCGAATGTATTTGAGCACCTTCCGGTGTTATTCTCGCCCAACTTTGCCTTTTGTTATTATCAGGCGTGGACGTGTCTCTGGGCGGTGCGTCGGCTATCGATAAATTATTACTATTATTAATATTATTATTATTACGGTGGGCACTTCCGGGAGTTCTTGAATTTTTAAAAACCGTCGGTGTGAAAGTTCCGTCGTTTTCGTTAATGGGTTCGTAGTATCGTTTGCCGGTGTCCAACGGAGTTTGAGGTAGGGGTCGATTTTTATAATTGTGATGCGATACGTTTCCGTCGCATTTGTTCAAACTTATTCCCGAGCTTCCGTCAGCGGTCGTACGTGGACCGAGATTATCGTAAATGGGTTCGGATTTAACCGGAGTTTCTCCGTTCGAATCAATTAAAACCGGGGATAATGGCGAACTCCAACTTGGCACTCTAGGCTTTCTGGGAATTGTCACGTAACCCGATTGCCTGGGTACTATACCCAATGGAGGCGAAAACGGACTGTGACTTCTCGAATAGGGAAGAGTTCCGAATTGTCCGGCGAATTGTGGACTGTTTAATAATTTTTGCGGTCTCGGATAAGGAGATCTATCGGAGGAGGAAGAGGATGTGACGTAGGGTATGGCGTCAGTGGAAGAATTCTGATGGTTTTTAGTCGGAAACGTAAGCAAATCGGGTGGACAATAATCCGTTGATCCATCACCATCATCTCCTAATCGTGATTTTGGAAGTGTTGACACAGAACCGACGGATTGATTTTTAAGTTCTAATGCTATGGAACCTGGAAAATAAAAAAAAAAAAAAAACAAATTTATTTTTCTTCAGTCGTTTAAAAAAAAAAACCGGAAACAATTTTTTAAATATTTTGACTTTTCTAGTCGTTTTGTTTTTTAAAAAAAAAAATTTCTATTATATAAAGATACAAAAAAAGAATTGAAATAAAACTGGAAAATTTTTTTTTTTTGTGCTGGAGCCTCGAGCTTTCGATCGCAGCTTTGGGAACAACTTTATTTTATTTTTTTTTATTTTATTATAAATTTTGATATTTTCAAAAAAAAAAAAAAATGTTTACCCTTCCAGCAATTTGGTACAAAAAAAAAAAAAAAAATAAAGTCGAAAAGAAAAGCAGACGAAAATTTTTTTTTTTTTATTTCCTTTTCGGTTGAGTAAATAAATAAAATAAATAAAAAATGAAAAACACTTTCAAATTATTTAATAATAATAATAATAATAATAATAATAATAATAATAATAATAATAATAATAATAGAAAATTTTAAATTATAAAAAAACGTATAAATTAAATTTTCACAAAAAAAAAAAAAATTTTGAGGGATTCAATTTAATCATGGCCGACTCGGAAAAAAAAAAATTGTCCAAAATTTTTTTTCTTTTTTTACATCCGCTTTTCTTTTCCTTTCCATAATTTCCAGGGAAAATTTTGTTTTTAAAAAAATAATCCAATAAAGAAATTAAAAAACTTTTTATCAGCTTTAAAAAAATTATATATATATATCGAAAAATTAAATTAAATTTAAGTAATAACTCGGAAAAACAAAATAAGTTGTAAACTTATTTCATAACAACAACAACAAACAACAGCAAACGACAGCAACGGTAAAATTGTTTTCTTTTTTTTTTAAATCGATACAAACGTAAAAAAGTTTTTTTTTTTTTTTAAAACTTTTCATTAAAAATAAAACCCGAATTCTGAATATTAAAAATAATAATAATAATGATAAAAATAATGATGACGACAACGACAACGACCGCGTCGATGGCAGTAGTACTAATAATAATAATAATAATAATAATAATAATAATAATAATAATAATAATAATAATAATAATAATAATAATAATAATAATAATAATAATAATAATAATAATAATAATAATAATAATAATAATAATAATAATAATAATAATAATAATAATAATAATAATAATAATAATAATAATAATAATAATAATAATAATAATAATAATAATAATAATAATAATAATAATAATAATAATAATAATAATAATAATAATAATAATAATAATAATAATAATAATAATAATAATAATAATAATAATAATAATAATAATAATAATAATAATAATAATAATAATAATAATAATAATAATAATAATAATAATAATAATAATAATAATAATAATAATAATAATAATAATAATAATAATAATAATAACAATATATTATTCATTCATTTCCTTTCAGCAAAACAGAAGAAAAAAAAAAAAAGAAAAATTTTAACGTTCGTAGACGTTGAAGAGACGTCGTCGTACGGAAATTTCCTTTTAATATTTTTTCTTTTTAATCGAATTTTCCTTTGAATTACCGCACACACGATATGATAACGTCTTATTAAAAAAGGGCGTCTTAAAAAAAAATTAAAATCGCCCGAGTAATTAATATACATATTTTTATTTATCGTCAAACGAGCATTACGCCATTACTCTTACGTCACACGCGCATTAAAAAAAGGGGGGAAGGAGTGGGGAGGGAAAAGGAAATGAATTTCATATCGATGCAATAATTATTATTTTAAAATTAAAAAATTTAAGTTAAAAATAAGAATAATAATAATAATAATGAGGATGAGGATGAAGATGACGATGATAATGATTCCAACGATATTAATAATAATAATAATAATAATAATAACAATAAAAATAACAAACAGCGTAAAATAAAATATATATATTCTCTCTCTTCTATAATCTGACCGAAAATTTAAGCGAAAACAACAAAAATGGCGGAAATTTATTTATATTTACACCATTTGTATTCAAAAGTAAGTTGAGAGCTTTAAAAATTAATGAGTCGAAATCGGAAATAATTAGTCTGAGAATATAAATTTACAAAAGAAAAAGAAGAAGAAAGAAATTTATTTTAGAGAAGCAATTTATATTGTATGAGAGTGTGTGTGTGCGTCCGTGCGTGTGTGCGTGGGCGTGGGCACGCGGGAGCTCTTGTTTGTGTTTATCATTTCCGGAAACTCGCGGTAACATTATTTTCATCGAATCCATCCGGTCACCGGTTTCCGTTAAATAAATAAATAAGAAAAACAAAAACACGATAAATGTAGTCGTGATAATAATAATAATAATAATTATAAACGTGAAAAAAAAAAATTTCCCCCACCCGTTTTTTGGAAACGAGAAAATTATCGAGCGATGGATCGATCATCCGTTTTAAAATTTTCTCGAGAATATTTCCGATATGAATTTTTTTTTTTGTTTCCAGATCCCCCTCCCCCCTCTTGAAAACTGGAACGATTTGTCAAAATTTTTTTCACTCCGATTTTAATGGTTTTGGTTTCTCCTTCCACGTCAAAAATGAACTTTCTGTCGTTCTCTCTGTCATGCACGTGCTTATTTTAAAACTTATAAAAAATTATATAGAATTAGTAGTTCGTAGAGCTTAATGGAAATTTACCGGTTTTGTGTGCGTGTGCGCGTGCGTGCGTGGTTTTTTTAAATTAAAAACCAAGTGGGTTTGTTTTCCCACGTAATTCTTTTCATTTCCCCCCTAAAATTATTATTATGATATACTTTATTATTATTATTTATGTAAGACTGACGTTTTTTCACTTTATTTTCTTTATCTTATTCCCCGATACATCTTTTAAGAAATTTCCCTACATTTTTATTTTATCCTCAAATAACCGGAAGTCCCCTCTTAATGAACGAAACTTTTTTTAATAGTGACATATTTTTTTAATAGTCATCACATTTTCATTTAAATTTTTTATTCTTTTACGATTTTTCTTCTGGTGGCCTGCCAAAGGATACTATCAAGTACACTAATAACAGTACCGTATTTAGGAATTAAAATATCTTTACGTCATAAGATAGAAAAGAAGCGTGAAAAAATTTGTCATTATTATTATTATTATGTAAATATATTTTAAAAAATAATTTTATTTCTGTCTGATGCAGCTGGACTTTCATAACTCAATTTATTTATTTTTTGAATTCCACAAATAAATTTCCATATTCAAAATAAATAAATAAAATGATAATGATAATAATAATAATAATAATAATAATAATAATAATGATTTTGATAGAAAAAATAATTAAAAATTTATTTAACGGATCGTCTGAACAATAATTTCGAGAAAAAAAGGAGAAAAAAAAAAAGAAAAAATAATATTTATCACGGCGTTGACTGTGATAGTGGTGATGACGATGATAATGATGATGATGATGATGATGATGATGATGATGATGATGATGATGATGATGATGATTTAAAATTCCGGTGAGGAAAATCATTTATCAATAAAAAAAATTAAAAACTTGTAATTATTAACAACAACAACAAAAACGTAAATAAATTTTTGTTTAATATAAATAAATTGGGAATTTTTTTTTTTTGGGGGGAGGAAGACGTTACCTTTCTTTTTTTTCCCCTTTTTCCGTTTTGAAATTTGATTTTATTTCCGCTTTTTATTTTACCCGAAAAAAAAGAAAGTAAAAATTAGAAAACGTGCAAAAACTTCTTAAAAAAAAAAAAAAACGCAAACGATCGTTTTCTTTTTTTTCTTTTTTTCTTCTTTCTCTAAACAATTCTCCCTCTTGAAAAGTTTTTTATTTTTTTAAAAAAGGAAAACAAAGGAAAATGCACACGATATATAAAAAAAACAGAAAAGGAAAAAAAGGAAAAGAAAAAAAAATTGCGGATGATAAAATTTGCATTCGTAATTCAAGCAAGCTTCGCCATCACGAATAATGACGTAATTATTATTATTATTTTTCAGTCTGGTAAACGTGAAAAATTTTAAAAAAAATAAAATAAAAAATTCACGTCGTCGTGTCAGAAGTGAAAAAAAAAAAAAAACATTAATAATGATGACGATGACGATAAAGATAAAAATTTCGCCTTTTTTTTTCTTTTTTTCGAGTAAAAATTAATGAAAAACAAAATTTTTATCTAATTTATTGTTAATGTTTTAAAACAGTAAAAAAAAAATCAATAATAATTATGTTATTGACACGACAAAAAATAGAAAATAAAAAAGAAAATATTAAAAAAAAAAAAAAAATTTTCTTTCTTTCTCTTCCCCTCTTTCCGTCTTATCAAAGATTTTTCCTTTTTTCCAAAAAAAAAAAAAAACTTTATCGCACGAATAAATGAGAATGATAACAATAATAATGATGATAAGAATAATAATCGATTTATTAAAAACAAACACAAACACAACACAAGTAAATATGTATATATATATTATTATCTATCTACTTCGGAGTTCATTTAAAGAACAAACACAACAACAACACCATTTTGACGCGTGCATTTATTTATATATATTGTTATATTCGGTTCGTTCTTTATTTTTGTAAGTAATGAACAAGCACTTAAAACTATCACAAAACTAATATTAATAAACAAGAACTTATTACAGCTAGACTAAAAATCAAATGAACCGACGCCAAGCTGTGTAGCTTGCCTATATTACTTAAGTCTTTCGTCAGTCAACTGTTTCGAATGTTCGAGCAAACACTTGCAAATAAAATAAAAGAAGGAGTCTTTAGAAGCTTCGCTTCTAAAGAAGAACAATTTGAGTTCGTCGCCAGTCTTTTGTTTATAAAAAGTTGAAAATGTGAATATTGAGTACGGGATCATAACACCTCCCCCCTTAAGACGGAAAACAATTATTTTGAAAAAAGAATTTGTTTTCTCCTCTTGTTCGGATTTGACAGTTTCCTATGTCGGGTTCTGAATGGTTCCGTCCAGGTTGAGACTCCTTGAGTAGTAGTAGGTGCTATGTCTTCTGTATGGTAGACTGTTGTATCTCTTCACATTGGCTTCTTATCAGGAACATAATTTTAAGCTTTATAGCTGCAAGTAGTAGAACTTTTCCTAGGCAATACTCGTTAGTGAACAATGTTTCATAAAGAGTAAAGATAAAAGAATAAAATCAAAAGACATGAAATTCGAAACAAAATTGACATAAGTTCTGGAAAAATATAAAAATTTTATATGGGGTACATAGAAAAGAATAAATGGATTAATAATAAAATAAATGATGATAGCTGTATGGGAAAAATAAAAGGATTAAATTATTATTATTTTGGATTTCTCTCTTTAGATCAACTACTCAGAACACGGTTTTGTGATAAGTAACTTCCTTGTTACGGATTTTTAATAAAACATTTTTGCCAGATATTTTCTTGACCTCGTATGGACCCTTAAATTTAGGACTAAGTTTTTCATTGACTTTTATTTTATTTTTAATTGGATTTGTTCTTGCTGATTTTTGACTGGTTTGAATCTTCTCTTTTTCATTAGACGATAGGTGAACTTTACTTAGTAAAAATAGCTTTACCTCAGGAATATTCTCTTCGTGAAAATCGGTTGACATAAGAATGGATGCTTTCTTCCTAGATTTCTTGGTACTGGAATTCC